ACAAGGAACAATTTGTATATCTCAGAATTTCGGAAAAGTCCCTAGTTTTTGAGAAAATCGAAATTTTAGTTTTTCGTAGTTCCGCCGCTCGCCGCTAGATGGCGCCACCTGTACCGTTTTGAACCGAATTCGACAAAAATTGATTTTCTGACTTTATTAGGCATCAAAACGCTTCAAACCCTAATGGAAATTTGTTTCTAAATGCCTCAGGGACCATACTGCATCGTCAAAGTGCCGAAATATTCATTTTTTTATTTTCCTTATATGTGTGTTCGTACCCTCATTTTTTAGGTTTAGTTCATCCGTTTCGCCGCTAGATGTCTACGATATTTGACGTCCATGAAATGGGATTTTTTATTTTTCATTATTATCGTATTTATCGAGTTATATAGGCATTGTTTCGCTTTTAATGCGATCATGGAACATTATGTACGTGGCGAAATACTGCTAAAGTCCTTAATTATCAAGGAAAACGAAATTTTCTGATTTAGTAGTCTCGTCGCCCACCGCCAAATGGCGCTATCTATATATTTTTTCAGCTTTATTAATGTCGGCGAATACGAACTTTAAATGGATCGAAAAAATAATACCGTTTCATTTATAAGTACACCAGGATTTTGTTCTGACTGTGGTTCCATTTTGCCATTATTGGGAGAGAAAGGAGATGTGAAATGTTACGCTTGCAAACGGACTTGGGGTCCTGAAGGTACTTACCTCGGTGTGAAGAGGAGGTTAGAATTCTTGTTTCAATATACTTTTATGCAATTATTTTATTTAATGCAAGGTAATTTATTATGTTAGCCTTCGGTGATATGTATATGAATTATACCATTCACTTCAACAAAAAGGATGCTTACGAGTCTTCGAAACAAAAAGACGACGACGAAGACGAAGCAGAAGGTCCAGTCGTTGAGCGAAAATGTCCGCAATGTCAAAACGATAAAATGTCGTATGCCACGTTACAATTAAGATCGGCAGATGAAGGGCAAACAGTGTTTTATACGTGTACTAAATGCAAGTACGTATCTTTTACTACCATGAAAATCTGTGTCTTTAAAAATTTGATAAAAATTACCGCGACAATGTATAACCTAAATTAATATAAGGAAGCATACTTTACAAGCATTTTTATGTTTACAGATTTAAGGAAACCGAGAATTCATAAAATAAATGTACGTTACGCGTCGACCAACGAGTGGACAATCAGGGTGGATCGATCAGGGTTATTTACTACAACGATAACAGTCTGTGTTAATGAAACATAGAGTTTTATTTCCGATACACTCAACAAATAGTTTGTGAAGGGAGAATAATAATTTCACGATACCGTCGAATTAACGATATATTTTCTTTTTGATTACGTTTGGTTGTATGTTCTTTTATCGATGTATTTTTAAATTCTATATTCGATTAAATATTTTGTACAATACATTGGAATAAAAGTTAACGATCGCTCGAAGAAGTTTCTATCGATGAATTATCGAAACCGTTACAGTGGTCCTTTCATTATAAAATCTTCGTATTTAAAGAATTTTGTTAGTACATCGCTTATGCTACAAATAGTCTTAAATACAGTTATTAGTCGTTGATAATAATATGTATTTATATATAGTTGTAATAATAAGGAGAAGTAGATACGCTATTTATACGATATCAAAGAAGTTTCAACAATCGGGCAATCAACCAACTTAATTATATACACGACCAGAAAGATCTTATACTACGATTTATTTTAAAAAGGCTCCGGTTATCGTAACATCGATAAAACTAACAGGAAGAAATTTGTTTTTACGTTTAAATAATGTTGTTTATCAATTACGTTAGTTTACGCGAATTTATTTCTATACAGTTATACTTGCACCGTAAAATACTATAGATATCTTTTAATAACGGAAATTATAATACTCGTAGTTAATAGTTGACGATCGTATTACAACTCGTTAACGGAAAGACAGGAAGCGAAAGGATAAAAAAAATACCGTTAAGCGTAAACCACCACCAAATAACAAATATTTAATTTAAACAAAACAGTGAAATATCATCGAAGATAACGTCGCGTGTTTCTCCTCGAGTCTGTTTCTCTTCGAAAAAAAGCGTATATTCGTGCGTAAATTCACTTGCCTCGTATAATTCTTGAAATGAAACAGGAACACGTTCGATTAGATTCGCGATTAAACGTTCGAGAGTAATGTTCGTTACCGCCGTTACACTATTATAATAAAATTTACCGCGTTAACAATATATTTTACGCGAAACACATTCTTTCGGCATTGTTCGGCTCTCGCTGAGTCCTTACGGAGAATTTCATAAGATGCTCTTAACAAAGTCGTTAATATTTTATTATGTATAGGATTCATGTCGGGTCCGTTAGGCCTTCGATCAACGATTGAACTGGTCTCCTTTCGCAAAAATATATCAAAAAAATTGTACAAACCAGCTCTAGTAGTAGTTTTTGTTCTAACAACGAATCAGTGTGCTCGGTACAAAGCACGTATTCGCGAAGGATCGTCGCTTTCTGAAGCGTCCTTTCTGAGCCGACGATTACGTTTGTACCGAGTACGCTCGTTAGTTTCTTTTTCGGTTATGTACACTAAAACGCTTCAATGTTACATATCGTACATCGAGTATGTACAAGTGACAAGTTATTTACAAGTGGAATATGAGGCAGGTGACACAGAGATCGTCGTTTATTCTACAAGCCGCGATCATGATACTTCGTAACACTCGTCCAAAAAGTTCTCCAAAGAGTGATAGAGATGAGCCCGAGATTGAGCGATTCCATGATCCTCGTCCGTATAGGTCTGCAAAGAGGAGAAGTATTCGTAAATTTCGCGAGACCGGTGGTATTCGGAATAATATCCAAACCGAATAAACGTTATCGATCGATAAAGCATCGTTATTTGTTATTTTGCTGATTTTTCAATTCGGTATATTGAGCGTTTAATTCTGTTACGCGTTACTTGGCGTAATCAAACTTCGTAAATGGTTTGGTTGTTTAAAAAAAACAAACAAATAAAAAGAGAAGAAAGAAATTGGGCCGTTGCAATTGTAACGCGGTGGTTTTGTGTAGTTTATTTAAATAGAGAGGGTTGTACGCGCGGAGCTCGAACGCACAATGCAATTTATTTAGCTCATACCGAGATGCTTTATTTATTTTTTTTCCGTCCACTTTGTGGATTTTAATCGTCAACGTTAAACACTGCTTAATGTAGGGAGAGCACGTAGACGAGTACTAAGCATGATAATTTTGTAAGCGTTTCTGAAATAACACGAAAACGCGGGCATTTCTTCGTTCTACTTTCCCTCGACCGTTCGCTACCTACTTGTACGAATCGCGCACTGTTACGTATTAAACGACGAGAAAGGAATCGGAGTTATTTATTTTCCTAATATTTTCGACTAAATTATACGCGCTACAACAAGTTTGCGCATATTTTTAGAGCGTCGAGAGGAGAACGTGCTCGTCGACGTATTAGCTTACTTAAGCCTTTATTGTGATGCAATATTAACGACGTACCTGTTGCCGAAACAGAATATCCTTCTGCTCGAGAACTTTGGCAAGCAACAAAGATTGTTGATAGTGCACGTTGTCGTCCAAAGTTCCGTGAATCAAGTAGTACATCTTCGTTTTAATATTATCGACTTTGTTGAGTAGTTGGCCTTTTTCGTAGCCGTGAAGATTATCTTCGAACGTCGGCAAACCCATAAAACGCTCCGTATAGATCGAATCTATAAACAACGTTCGTTATAAAGTTCGAATCGGTTTTATTCCGTGATAGAGAATACGAGAAATAAGTATTGTCGGGTATAAATTTGGGAAAGTAGCGAGAGAGTGTGTTAAAATTTGATAGGGGAAGAGATGGAAGGCGGAGGAAAAGTATGATTTACTGGGAGCATGTAGGAAAGCGAAGGATACCCGAATCCACGGGTAAAAGCGAAATCGTGGCGTTAAAAATGTGTATCGACGAGAAGGAGAATGTTCGGCACGGTAGAAACGATCTCGGGACGATGTCTCCTCGTTGAGGAAATAAATCTGATATCTGGAAACGCGAGGGTAGCTGACTGCGACAAGATTCCGACAATAATTGAATCGATCGAAGCCGAAACGAACCGTCGCGTCGCGTCGCGTCGCCTCGCGTCGACAAGAACCGAGAGTCTAGCTTTCTCTTCTTTTTCTCCTTCGGTTGCTTGCTTCGTTCTCGATGCTCGAACGAGCATGCTGTGCCAATCACCGTGAAAAACTACAATATCTCCCGAATCGCTTCCCTTTTTCTCGGTGATAGATATTCGGCAAAGTCATACCGCGTTTCGTTCGATTCGAGTACGACGGTTAACTTCCGATGGCGATTAGCGAGCTTACAACGTTCGGAAAGCGGAAGATCGCGGCGCGGAAAACGAGCGATCGTTTGGAAGAAGAGAATAGGAGGGAATATTTAAAGGTCTGTCTCGGACATTTCAATGAATAAAAGTACCCTAGAGCGGTGGAGAGTACCCGTTCAATGGATGAAAATATTATCTCCCTCGTAGACGTACCGTAAAGAGCCCAATCCGTTACAGGTGCCACGGACATGCCGCACTTGAAGACGCCCTGATAATCCATGGCGAGTGTCATGCCTGTCGCGTATCCACCATAACTCCAACCCCATATCGCTGTCCTGGTGCGATCGATGAACGGCTGCGTGTCTTGTAAATACCTGTAATCGACGGGAAAATAGGTCGTTAATAAAACCTCGATGGTTAACGCGCGGGCTATTCGTATTTCTAATTCGATTTTCTAGCTTAATTTCTCCGGCAAAAGTTACGCTCGCGTTTCTTCGTAAATTCTAAAGCTAAGGCGGTTTGTTTCCGCGCTCGACTGTCTACCGGAGAGAAGTTATCTTCCTAAACTCCGTAACCTTTTCATCGTTAACTACTCGCCGCCGATTATACGAAGCTCGAACTCGATCCTTTCACCGTTAATCGCGGACGCTCTAGACCTCGTACAATGGGACGTACAATTATCGTTCGGAAGAAAAGTAGAATCCACGGTCGTAGCGAGATGTCGCGAAAATCCATATTTTCGGTGCAAGAATATCCATCGTTTCGTTCGAACGCGAGGAATCTATTCTGTTCGGTGATCTATGGAAAGTACGCGGAAACTCGCGTTTCGGAAAGTCGGAATATTCGCAAAAGATTCGTGGAAGTTTGATTCGGCTTTGGTAACCCAGATCGAGTTTTCTCCTTCGGTTGCTTGCTTCGTTCTCGATGCTCGAACGAGCATGCTGTGCCAATCACCGTGAAAAACTACAATATCTCCCGAATCGCTTCCCTTTTTCTCGGTGATAGATATTCGGCAAAGTCATACCGCGTTTCGTTCGATTCGAGTACGACGGTTAACTTCCGATGGCGATTAGCGAGCTTACAACGTTCGGAAAGCGGAAGATCGCGGCGCGGAAAACGAGCGATCGTTTGGAAGAAGAGAATAGGAGGGAATATTTAAAGGTCTGTCTCGGACATTTCAATGAATAAAAGTACCCTAGAGCGGTGGAGAGTACCCGTTCAATGGATGAAAATATTATCTCCCTCGTAGACGTACCGTAAAGAGCCCAATCCGTTACAGGTGCCACGGACATGCCGCACTTGAAGACGCCCTGATAATCCATGGCGAGTGTCATGCCTGTCGCGTATCCACCATAACTCCAACCCCATATCGCTGTCCTGGTGCGATCGATGAACGGCTGCGTGTCTTGTAAATACCTGTAATCGACGGGAAAATAGGTCGTTAATAAAACCTCGATGGTTAACGCGCGGGCTATTCGTATTTCTAATTCGATTTTCTAGCTTAATTTCTCCGGCAAAAGTTACGCTCGCGTTTCTTCGTAAATTCTAAAGCTAAGGCGGTTTGTTTCCGCGCTCGACTGTCTACCGGAGAGAAGTTATCTTCCTAAACTCCGTAACCTTTTCATCGTTAACTACTCGCCGCCGATTATACGAAGCTCGAACTCGATCCTTTCACCGTTAATCGCGGACGCTCTAGACCTCGTACAATGGGACGTACAATTATCGTTCGGAAGAAAAGTAGAATCCACGGTCGTAGCGAGATGTCGCGAAAATCCATATTTTCGGTGCAAGAATATCCATCGTTTCGTTCGAACGCGAGGAATCTATTCTGTTCGGTGATCTATGGAAAGTACGCGGAAACTCGCGTTTCGGAAAGTCGGAATATTCGCAAAAGATTCGTGGAAGTTTGATTCGGCTTTGGTAACCCAGATCGAGCGGCGGTGTTGTAGCTGTGGCGAGAGTGACGCAGTGCAGAGGGAGAGGAGCAGGGCGCGGCAGAGGACTTTAACGTCCTGCTACGCGACCGGGTCATAGTCCTTTGGGAAGCCAAAGGCACGTTCTATGTACCTGCGTGTCTGTTCGATTTTGCTCGCCGCTTTTTGGAGGCGTCGCGCGTCGGGCCTACTTTGTAAGGGAACTCCTTCACCGGTAACAGGACACGCTGCTCGACCGCTGAAAGGATTCGGATGTATCGCTTTCTTCGATACTCCGTGTCCGTCCAAATCGAACGCTTCGTAATCGTTCTCGGTTATCAAATTCGTACAGTCGAAGCGATCCGCTTTATTCGCGAAGCTCGTAAAAATTGTTCTTTAAAGGATCGGCCACTCGAACTAAATGTCGCAGGATGCTCGAAGCGCTCGTCTGTCGGATGCATAATGCATTCGGTTCGGAGCTTCTTAAGCTCGTAGCCTCGAAGAAGATAGATTCGAAAGTGACCGAGTACTCTGGACGATTGAAAAATAGATGGAACAAATCGAGTGGCCATTTCTGTTCGACACCCTTTGTACGACAACCGGTTAGATGATAGGACGGTCGGCCGTAGAAGACGAAGTCGCGGAGAATATTCTTTCGGTTCGTCAGGGTGCGTTCGATTTGCTGCGCTCGAGACGATTTCTGTTCGGGAAAGGGTAAAGTCTTCCTTCCGCAATCTCTTCTGGCTATTGTCTCTCGTATCTCGTATCTCGTGTGCGTTCAATAATAATGGTTCCAAGGGGAACGAAGGCGGCGAGCCACACGGTTGCCCATAGAAACTACTAGTGCCGGTGGATTCCTTTTTTCACGAAATTTATTTACCTCGTAAATCGACCTACCCGCCCGTTCAATTCTATTCCCGCCGCGCCGCAACAACGCTACCTTTCCAACGCGAGCATCGATTTTCGGATAAAATTTCATTTTTTTCTCCGATAGATGCGTCTACGTATCGATATCCGAATAGTCGATCGCGTCCAAGGATTGGAATATCGTTTGGCGGTCGAAAGTTTCGATATTTATTGCTGCGTACGGCGCTGCCAGTGCCGATAGATTTCGTGCTGGCTGTATCGTCTTCCCTTTGATCCGAACGCATCTTCGACATCGTAACGATCGAGTTAATTAAACTCGTGGACCGGTGATACGAGGCGTTTCGAACCCTGCCGCTGATCGATCGATCGATCGATCGATCGAGAGCGATCGAAGCTTCTTCTTCGAAAAAGAGCTCGGACCTTTCTGAAACGCGTAATGTTTTTCAGCCGGGAAATCGATCCTTCACGGATTTTCAGCGATACCGCGATTGGTTGTTGCGTCCAAACGCAGAATCACAATGCCAACGGCGAATAAGAGACGGGTTGGTGGTGAAAAATTTCAACCGGCGATGCTCGAGGAGAGATAGAGAGGACGCGTACGTTGGAAAAAAAACGACGGCTCGATTATTTCCGAGAGCTTCGAATTCCAATTTATTGTGCTTCGCTCGTGCCTGTGTTGCTCGGTGCGAAGCCGCCCTTAATTAAAAAAGGAAAAAACAAAACAGAAAGAAAAAGAAGAAAAAAAGGAGGCAAGTGGAAAATAAAACAAACTTAACCCTTGTCGCCCGGTGTTTGGTTTAGACTCTGCTATCGCAGGTAGCACTCGCCGCGATTGGATTTCTCTCCTCAACGTATTTAACCGTTTCGGGAAAGATGCGCGATATAAAAAACGGTTCTTTCTTGTTCTTCGAGTTCGAAAAATATCGTCGGCAAACTGTAACCCTTCCGTTTGATCGGCTGCTCGCCGCGTCGACACGCTTTGATCGATCTTAATTTAGCTCGCGGCAATCGGGTCTCGCCTAATCCGTAAACGATTAATTTCGGGGGCGAAACGGGAGCTGCCACCGCGTTAAATTCATCGTTTCTCGATGACGACGTAATATTCGGCCCCGTTGGTCGAACCCGCCCCTAAACGGTCTCGAGTCGTCCCACCTCGATAAAAAAAAGATTTATCTTTCGGTCACGAGGCCTCACGGTTATTCACCGATCGGACGATCGCGGGG